ATGTTGGCTAGGATGGTCTCAATCTCTTGACCTCGTGATCCACCTGCCTCGGCCTCCCAAAGTGCTGGGATTACAGGTGTGAGCCACTATGCCTGAACCTTTCCTCCTTTTTTTAATCAGACAGGGAAAACATCATGTGCATAAATAATAATGACTTCGTAGGCTTTTAAAGGGAGACTGTCCCTTTAAAAGCCTCATAATGGGAGAGTCAGAAGAACCCAAAAGTCACAAACTCAAATGACTGGAGAACCAGTAAGTGGCATAAGTGTGTGAAGTGTGTGAAGTCAGCTGGGGGAAGACTGGGATGCACTGGAGAGTGGCATGTATTGACAAAAGCCATCAAATAAAATTTAAAATATTTAGCCCACTCCAAAGAGCCCTTCTGAGGCACACACTTCTGCTGAAGGCTGCAGTGAGTGGGCTCTCACCTCAACCTGAACCAGATGCTAAGGCTGGGTCCCACTGAGGGGATGTGACTCGCCCAAGGTCATCCAGGGCCAGGTCTGTGCCCACACTAGGACTTTTTTCCTCCCTCAGACAGAAGGCACTTCAGCTGCTGCAGAGTAGGTGCCAGCAGCCTTTCAGTGGGTGAGTTTCTACTCCTTTCCCAGGGTGCCTCAGTGGGTGAAGGGATTGAGCAACAGGTGCCCATGCGGCCACCTCTCACCCTAACACCCTGATCCCAATCCCCTCATCCCACAGTCATCTCAGGGACAAATAGAGACGTTCCAATGTGCTCTGCAACCTCTACCAACCCAGACAGAGCCTGGAATCACAATGCCCACCTAACCAGAGGGACCAGCGAGCTAGCCAGGTGCCCCATCTTTCATCTGCTCTTCACAAGACCCACAACTGAAAAATTAGTATAAACAGCACATTCTACACACGATAACAGAGCAAGTCCTTACACCACTCTTACTGTGCCAGGCCCCCTCAGCCGTAGGTACTATTATTATTCCATTTTACAAAGAAAGTAACTGAGGGGCAGAGAGGCAAAGTAACTCCCTGCAGGTACTCGAATGTGTACGTGGCAGAGCTAGGAGCCATCCTGGTTGCCTGCCTCCAAAGCCCACACTGTTAGCACTGCATCGCGGCACTTCCTGCGGGGTGGGGGGCACGTTGGGAGAAGCATCTGTGTCTAATGCTGCTTTGCTTTTGAGGCCAGAAAAATGGGAAGGCTCCCCTGACTCTGGAAGAGAGAAGCAAACTGTAATATCAACAACACAACCCCCACCTCAACCTTAGCCACCCCGGAGCCTCTCTCCCGCCAGTCCACCCACGGCAACACCGGCTCCATGTGCCACCCAGGGTCAAAGCCGCTCTGGGGACGCGTCACAGCTCCGCCTGTCAGTTGAGCACCGGCGCCTCAAGGGGTGCGGCCCTCTCGGAAGGAAGGTGAGCTTCTAGGGAGCCTCTGACTACAGCGAAGCGGCTAGGCTCTCTCCCGGGAGTGGGCGCGGCACCCAAGAAGGGTTTCATACAGTTCCAAGAGAGGACCCCAGCCAGTCACTCCCGAACCCACCCGGGGCTTGGAGGAGGTTTTGGAAAAGAAGAGATAGGGGAGTGTGTAGAACAGGAGGCGGAGGCTCGCAAGAGCCAAGGGAGGGCTCGGTCGGGTGCGAAGAGTGCCTGGGAGGAGTTAGAGTGGGGAGGGGGTGCAGCAGTGGGGAGGAAAGAGGCGGAGCTGGGGGACCCGACCGCTAAAGCGGAAAAGGGGAGTCCAGGCAGCGGGAGTGTGGGGGGAGCGGCGAGGTAACTTCCCTCAGTCCCCACGAGCTCCCGGCCGGCCGGGATTCGCTGCGGAGAAATTCTGCGGAGGGGCGGGTGGGTCAAAGACGTGCCCGGCCGTTGCTGAGCCTTCCGCCCCCTCTCCTAGAGTGTGTGTGTGTGTGTGTGTGTGTGTGTGCGCTAGGGGCCAGGGGGCGGAGTCGGAGAAAGGGTTGGGGGTGTCCACGTCCAGCGCTCCTCCAGACGCGGCTCCACAATCCAGCTGCGAGAACAGATGGACGCAGCGTTGGCTCACCTCGGGGGCTTCCTGCCAGCTGTGCGCCGAGGTCCAGGCTGAAGCGCAGATCTCAAGCCTCTGGCTCCCAGCTCTCCCGAGGGGCCGCGGGGAACCGGCTGCCGCGCCCCCACTTCCCAGTAGAAGAGCGCGCTGACCCCGTGGGTCCTAGAACCGTGGGTGGGGGTCGAGCAGGGGGCGGGCAGAGGGCTGGCACCCGGCACCGAGCACCCATCCCAAGGGCTGGTTCAGGACTTCCACACCGAGACCCCTTCCTGGGCCTCCAGCCCCGAGCATCTGAGAAGCGGACCCCTGCCCGACCACGCCCCGCCCCCGGCCCCCGCCCCGCCGACGTCGCATTAGCATGAGCAACGCAAGTGGCCCGGGCACCACTCGGGGGCTGGGACTCGCCGCGTCACAGCCCCAAGTGGAAGAGAAAAAAAAAAGAGGAGGCGGCGGAGGAGGCAAGAGCCGACGCGAGGGGAGGGGAGCGCGGCGGCGGGGCGAGCAGGCGGGCTGGCGGGCTGCAGCAGCATGCCCCTCGGCCAGCGCGGGCGGCCTCTCAACGCGGCGGGGGCTGCTCCGGGCTCGCCCCGGGCGCAGTGCGCCCAGTCTCCGGCCCCTGCCCCTTAGCGTGCCCGCCTCCCGGGCCGCCCCTGAGCCCAGCAGCCGCGGGTCCCGGGATCAGCTAAGAGCAGCAGCAACGCCTCGCCAGACGGAATCCTTTCCTTTCCCGGGTCGCTGGGCCATGAGCCCCGCGGCCTCCTGAGGCACAGGGTGGTCTGCTCGGCTAGGACCGCGCCCCCGAAGTCCTGTGCCCTCGTCTCTGCACTGCGGGACGCCCGCGCTCGGCCCTAGCGGAGGCGTCCTCGGAAGAGCATCGGGGTGGGGGCATGGAACCCGCGGCACCTGCGGGCCAGGCCCGGGTGGCTGCCACCAAGCTGTCGGAGGCGGTGGGCGCGGCGTTGCAGGAGCCCCGGCGGCAGCGGCAGCTGGTGCTGGTTATCGTGTGCGTGGCGCTGTTACTGGACAACATGCTGTACATGGTCATCGTGCCCATCGTGCCCGACTACATCGCCCACATGCGCGGGGGCGGCGAGGGCCCCACCCCGACCCCTGAGGTGTGGGAGCCCACCCTGCCGCTGCCCACTCCAACCAATGCCAGTGCCTACGCAGCAAACACCTCGGCGTCCCCGACGGCTGCATGGCCAGCCGGCACTGCCCTTCGGCCCCGCTACCCTACGGAGAGCGAAGATGTGAAAATCGGAGTGCTGTTTGCTTCCAAGGCCATCCTACAGCTGCTGGTGAACCCCTTGAGCGGGCCCTTCATTGACCGCATGAGCTACGACGTGCCGCTGCTGATCGGCCTTGGCGTCATGTTCGCCTCCACGGTCATGTTCGCCTTCGCCGAGGACTACGCCACGCTGTTCGCTGCGCGCAGCCTGCAGGGCTTGGGCTCAGCCTTCGCGGACACGTCAGGCATTGCCATGATTGCCGACAAGTACCCGGAGGAGCCGGAGCGCAGTCGTGCGCTGGGCGTGGCGCTGGCCTTCATTAGCTTCGGAAGCCTGGTAGCACCGCCCTTCGGGGGCATCCTCTACGAGTTCGCCGGCAAGCGCGTGCCCTTCCTGGTGCTCGCTGCAGTGTCGCTCTTTGACGCATTGTTGCTGCTGGCGGTGGCCAAGCCCTTCTCCGCGGCTGCACGGGCTCGGGCCAACCTGCCGGTGGGCACTCCCATCCACCGCCTCATGCTGGACCCCTACATTGCCGTGGTAGCCGGCGCGCTCACCACCTGTAACATTCCCCTTGCCTTCCTCGAGCCCACCATTGCCACGTGGATGAAGCACACGATGGCAGCTTCCGAGTGGGAGATGGGCATGGTCTGGCTGCCAGCCTTCGTGCCTCACGTGCTGGGCGTCTACCTCACCGTGCGCCTGGCGGCGCGCTACCCACACCTGCAGTGGCTGTACGGCGCGCTGGGTCTGGCTGTGATCGGCGCCAGCTCGTGCCTGGTGCCTGCCTGCCACTCCTTCTGGCCACTAGTGATATCGCTCTGCGGCCTCTGTTTTGGTATAGCTCTAGTCGACACAGCGCTGCTACCCACGCTCGCCTTCCTGGTGGACGTGCGCCACGTCTCAGTCTACGGCAGCGTCTACGCCATCGCTGACATCTCCTATTCGGTGGCCTACGCGCTTGGGCCCATAGTGGCGGGCCACATTGTGCATTCCCTGGGATTTGAGCAGCTCAGCCTTGGCATGGGCCTGGCCAACCTGCTCTATGCTCCCGTCTTGCTGCTGCTCCGAAACGTGGGCCTCCTGACGCGCTCCCGTTCGGAGCGCGATGTGCTGCTTGATGAGCCACCGCAGGGTCTGTACGATGCTGTGCGCCTGCGTGAGCGTCCAGTGTCTGGCCAGGATGGCGAGCCTCGCAGCCCGCCTGGCCCTTTTGACGAGTGTGAGGACGACTACAACTACTGCTATACCCGCAGCTAGCATCCCCACTCCTCCTCCAGTACACCCACCCGCCTTGGGTCAAGGTGGCTGCTCTGCAAGGGCACTGGCCAGCTCTGGCTCAGGGCCCACCTACCCCAGCGAGTACCCCAACCCCTCCTCAACCTTGACTTCCTCCCGAATCCCCTCCCTGTGACCCATTCCATATCCTTCTCTCTCTTGTCCAGTGGGGCTTGGATCACCGAGGCAAGCAAAGCCAGAGCGCTCCTTACAGAGTGAAGAGGCGCCCACCCCAGTCCCCACCTGGGGCTCCCCTGTGTAAAGCCTGCATCTGTCTGTTCTTCCTTCCATTACTCCCAGTGCCAAACTTGGGTCACTGCACCGCGGTGCCTCTGCCCAAATCAATAAACGGTGTCTGTCCCAGGAGGCCGAGTCTCTTTACTGGTGGATCAGTGCATGGTGGGCGAAGGGCCAGAGCAAAGGGGAGGGTGAACTGGGTCTTCAAGTTCCAATCTATGCCTGAGCCAAACTAGCACGCAGGACACTGTAGCTCTTTTTCTACCTGGAAGAGGGCATAGGAAGAAAGCAAATCCAACAAAGGCTAGGCTGTCACCCACGGTCACCAAGGAGCACCACTCCCCTCAACCCACGACAATCCGTCCTTTCCAGGCCCAGCGCAGAGCCTGGGGGTGCCACCCGGGGGAGCCTGAGGACCCGTTCCAGCTGAGCAAGCCAGGCTCCGCCCTTTGAAGACACGCCCCACACCAGCCACTGAGCTCTGAGGCCCTGAGCTGAGCTTCCCTTCAGACCGGCATTCCGCCCCGTCCAGGCTTTGAGAAAGGAGTAGGAGCCGAGCTTTCCTGCAGAGGAAGAAAAACGGCCTGTCTTTCGTGGTCCGACCTCTGGAAATGAGTGTATGATGTGATGCGTGTGTTGGCTAGAGAACTAGGCTCTGTCCTAGCAGCAGCAGGGGAGTAGTGGTTGGTGTTCTGTGTCTGGGTCAGTCCTGAGGGTCTGAGTCTTGAAGGGTGGGATGCAAGTGTGGAACCTGGTGCCAACCCCCACGGCCACTCTGTCCTGAGTGAAAGCAGCAGCCCAAGATGGTCAGGAAAGTTTCCCACCCTTAGTCCCAGCCCTGAGAGCCTCAGGCCAACGTTAGCGCAATACTTCATGTCCCAGAGACCGTGGTCTGATGACAGAGGCAGAATCTTCCCATCCCAGCGTCAAGAGGCTGCGGGTCGAGGTCGCCTGTGTGTTAGCTGCGTCTGTGGGGGTCTGCTCTGCTGTTGTGCGCATGTCTGTCTTTGGTCTGCGAGACGGGCTGTTTTGTGTCTGGGCGGAGTCTGCCTTTGTCAGTCTGTCTGTGCTATTTGCGTGTGGGGGTCTCTACCTGGGGTGGGGGATGCTTTTGTCTGAAAGGAGAGTCTGGCTCTTGCCGCAGTCCTTAAGCATCCCCAGGTCTGCCACAGGATGGTCCCAAGTCTGTAGAACCCACCTCTCCTCTCCACCCCAAAGTGCCAGCAGGAATGGGATGGCAACAGAAAGGGAAGTCCTGCAGTGGGCATTGAACCGAGTTACTGTTTCTTATTATTATTTTGAAAGATGGTGTAGTAGGGTTTGAGACTGGCCTGGATTGGGGGGAGGCGGGCAGAAAGCAGAGACTTCCTCGGACCCAACCCTCTCCAGGACTCTGAGCCCCAGCACTTTGGCTGGCATAATGGGGTTGGGGAAGTGCGGTGACTGGGGAAGGCTGAGCTATGAGCAGGGGGCATGTGCCAGGCAGTGTTCTGTGCCCCCTTCTAGAGCCTAAATTTGTTGCCCTACCTCCTCCGGAAGCTCTCCGAGTAGATTCTGGAGGCCTGGAGCTGGGATCGCTGGGCGGGGAGTGGGGAAGGGATGGGGGACTGAGGACCGAGAAGAAGAGAGAAGAAGGGGGGTGTTGGGGGCGGGAGGAAATGGGAGAGAGGAGAGGGAGGAGGAACAAGAGGAAGGAGAGAAGTGCGGCCAGCTTGCTTTCTCCAGTCGGGTGACCGCGGGGACCCAGGCGACGTCGGAGGCTCTGCGGGGAACCCAGGCGGCAGCCCCCACCCCTGCGCTGCTGACACGCCCCGCACCCCTTCCGGCTCACACCCCCACCCATAGTCCTGAGCGGTTCGGTGCAGCGTCGGCGGAGGCAGCAGAGCCGAGGAGAGCAGGTGAGAAGGGCTGGGCTGGGCTGGCCGGCGCGGTGCCGGGAGCGGGGCGGGGAGGGAGGGCGGCTGTCAGAGGCTCTATCCCGGGACAGCACCGGGCCGAGAGCCCCCAGGACTGGTGGAGTCCGACTGAGTCCTGCACAGCAGCGGCAGCGGCCGTCGGGGGTCAGCTAGGAAACTGCGGGATTGAGCTGCTTTGGTGCCTGGACTTGGGGAGGCTTGACCATCTGGGCTTCTGGACTCCAAGCGCATGTTCTCACTTCACTTGGCCCAGCATCTGCTAAGTGCCCAGGTCTGCGCTTTCTGTGTCCAGTCGGAGGGTCCGCGGATCCAACCCGACTCGCCAGAATCGCACCGGTCTCTCTCCAGACCTTCCCGGGAGCAGGGGGTTGGGAGGGAGGAGCAGCCACTGGTGGCAAGTCAGAGCCAGGTCACAGCTGATGACAGCCTGTGAGGACTGGCCAGACTGGGGTTGGACCTTCAGGGCAGAGCAGGCAGCCCTTGAAAAGCCAGGCTAGCAGGAGCATGGGTGGGAGGCACAAAACAGACAGATAAACAGACATATCCACACATACATCTTCCCTGCACCCACCCAGGAGTGATGGAGGAAGAAGAGCTGGCAGGTGGGACCTCCAGGAAACCATCCTGCCCAGCTCTGCCCTATTTTACAAGCTCAGGGTCCCTGAAGCCTGACTAATGTCTCCCGAATCAGCGGGGCTCCCAGCCAGAGCAAGAGAAGGCATTGGCTGCACCTTCTGTAGGGCGACCAACCTAACCTTGTCCTTGTTGTCCCCTCAAAAGACTGCCATGCTCCAGTGAATCCTCACCAGGATGCCACCTCAATCACTTTGCAGTTGGGGGCAGCCCCTACGAACCCACAGCACTGGTAGGCTTGGGGACCAGCCAGTCGAGAGTGCCTGGTGCTGGGATCGCTGGGCAGGGAGGAGGGAAGGGATGGGGGACTGAGGACCCAGAAGAAGAGAGAAGAAGAAGCCCACTGTGCCAGCAAGGGCTTTACATTCTCTGCCTAGCACTGCAAGGCAGCCCCAGTCTCCTCCATCCTTGGGCCTGGTTCATCCATCTTTCTGAACTCTCTGTTCCTGGCAACAACCCTGCCATGTGCCCATATCTGGGCCATATTTGCCTCTGGGTAGGGGTGCTGTTGGGTGGGGAGAAGGGCGGGGAAATGAGCTAAACATCAGCTTTAGATTCTTTTTGTTTTTATTATGCTTTAAGTTCTAGGGTGCATGTGCAGAACATGCAGGTTTGTTATATAGGTATACATGAGCCATGGTGGTTTGCTGCACCCCATCAACCTGCCACCTACATCAGGTATTTCTCCTAATGCTGTTCCCTAGCCCCCCACCCCCCAAAAGGCCTCAGTGTGTGATGTTCCCCTCCCTGTGTCCATGTGTTCTCATTGTTCAACTCCTACTTACGAGTGAGAACATGTGGTATTTGGTTTTCTGTTGCGTTACTTTGCTGAGAATGATGGTTTCCAGCTTCTTCCACGTCCCTGCAAAGGACATGAACTCATTGGTTTTTTTTGGCTGCATAAATTAGTTCAACCATTGTGGAAGACAGTGTGGTGGTGATTCCTCAAGGATCTAGAAACAGAAATACCATTTGGCCCAGCAATCCTATTACTGGGTATATACCCAAAGGATTATAAATCATTCTACTATAAAGACGCATGAACAAGTATGTTTATTGTGACACCGTTCACAATAGCAAAGACTTGGAACCAACCCAAATGCCCATCAAAGATAGACTGGATAAAGAAAATGTGACTTTAGACTCTAGAGAGAATAGAGGGTGGGATGGTGGAAAACATGGGTATGTGCTTGTACAGGCTTAGTAGGTTCAGAGGGATCTCAGAGTGTAGCAACTGTGACTCACAGCCTTATAATAACAGCCTTTGACCTCTTGGCCTGGCTCACTTCTACTGCACCTTCAAAATTAATCTACCTCTCCCCAGACTAAAGCAGATGACCCCTAGGGGCCCTGGCTGCCCAGCCTCCCTGCATAGCTCCCTGGCCAATTCCCATGTCATCTACACTGGCAGCCTGCAGACCTGAGACTACCTAGGTCACAACCCCTCCAGCAGGCCCAGAGTCCTCCCTGCCCTAGCCACAGGCCAGGCTCTCAATTAGCCCAGATACATCCTGAGCACAGGGCCTTAAAGGCCTCAGAGCCATTCATGCACGTATCCTTTCACCCACGCATGCATTCCTTTCCCTTGGCCAACCTACTGAGGGAATACACCCTACACCATACCAGACTCCAGGCCAGGCCCCAGAGATGAAGCACTGAGCACAACAGGTATGGTCTTACCCTTGAGAAGCTAATGGGAAACAGTTTGATCAGCAAAGTACTTATCTATTGGGTTCCAGGCAGGAGCAAAGCCAATACTGCCAGTGACCCTTGCCAATTTGAATTGCCCTGGGGTGGTCAGCTGGCTTTGGGTAGCAACAGCCTCGTGAGAGCATACCCTCACTTCTCCCATATGGGGGTCCAGAGAGAACACTGTGGTCAGCACATACAGCTGTAAGTCGAGACTGGGACCAGGCCTGCAATGAGACCCTTATACACAGCTGTCAGGCTCTGGCCTCCTCATGGGGAGGGGGTGTGGGTCCAGTGGTGGGAGGTGGAGGGTTTGTGGCAGGCCTATGTGACTGCTGTGTTGATGCTTCCCACTTCTTGGTCCCCAGGTCTACACCTCTGCATCCCTGGACCAGGACTCACTAAGATGCCCATCCTGGAAAAGGTCCCCCATAAGATGGCAGCAAAAACTCCCAGCAGTGAGGAGTCTGTGAGTGACTTTTGGAGCTCTCTGTCAACCCTGCTTTCGCCACCCACATGCCCTTGCTTCCAGAACAGTCCTGGGTGGGACCGGCCCCCAGCATTTGCCTGGCCCCAGCGCTGCCCTCTCCTGGCATGAGGCCCAGGCTAGAGCCCTGCCCCCAGCTTGCTGAGGATCCCAGAAGGGCCTGGAGGAGCTGAGAGGGGCCTCAGGGTGCTAAGGGAATGTTGAGAGCTAAACTTCCAAATCCCCAGACTAAGCTAGGCACTATCTTTCCATTATCCTCTCTTCATCCCAGCTTCCACTTCTGTTAGCTTTAAGCCCAGTGATTTTGCCTTAGGATGGGGCTGAATTGCTACTCCAAGCCCTGCAAATCCAGCTCCAGCTGCTGTCGCTAGTTCAGCCTTGGAGCCTTAAGTGCCATATTCTCCACTGGCCTGAGACAATGCCACCCTCCCTGGGCAGGCATTCTCCCTCCCATCCCAGCCAGCCTTCAGGTGACAGAGTATCACACCTGATTTCAGATTGCTGCATATATTTGCCCTCTCCCACACTTGTCTTTTTGCCACTCCTCTCCCTCTTTTCCCCAGCTCTCATTTGAAACCCTGAACAGAATTTTCTGGCTTCTTCCCAAGAAGTTGCTCACTCCATTGCCCTGACCTCTACAGTTGACAAACATCTGTTGTTACCTCTGGTCCACTGGCATGCTCCCCCCCTACCCCATTGGTCTGTGGCTGCCTTAAGAGCGGGCTCTGTTTCTCCATCATCTCCGAGTCCAGCCCAGGACCTGACTCACATGAACTGCCCGGGAAATATGGAGTTTTGAAGTATTGACCTGAGACTCCCAGGTCCAAAGACCTTCCTTAGTACAGGGCCAGAAGTCCAAGCGAGTCTGGAGAGGAGCCCGGGGCTGGGGAATGGGGGGGTGCTGAGATGTCTGAGCTGAGATTTTCTGCTTTATTGCCTTTTCCCCACTGCTGATTCCCTGTTAGCCAGGCTAAGTCGCAGCGCACTGTCAGAGCCAGGAAGAATGGGGAGCAGTGTCAAGCCCTTTTGGCCAGACCACTAACTGGGCTGGGCTTTCTGTTGATGCTCACCCACCCACCCATCACACAGACTGCCCCCTACCACAAGAGATGGAGGAACCAGAGCAGCTGGGTGGGGGGCCTGGACCTAGCTAGCTGGGGATGGGCAGGGCAGCCTGGGATGCTGCCCACACAGGTCCTCACGTCATTCCCCAGGGCAGGGGCAGCCTGGAGTTGGCACTGACACCCCACCCCTGCCAGAGAAGTGAATAATGCCCCTAACACCCGCATGAAACAAAATTCCCCGCCTGGGTTTTATAAGTAAGAGGGACTTATATGCTGCTCAGGGCATGAATCATCTTCCGAGGAACCATCTTACAGAATGTTGGTTCTAGAGGCAGGATCAGGCAGGATCAGGCAGGGGGAGGGCCATCATTCATCCATCAGCAGCAAGGACAGAGGAAGGAGGTGCTTCTAAGCGGCCCCTTCACTCCACAGCCTACAGGGAGGAAACCTTTGCTGTCTCATGGAAACTTATCACCGCACAGAGGAGAAGCCCCTAAAGAAAGGTGCCTCACTGTGTCCACCAGTGTGTCCCAGAGCCATCCTGCAGAATTCTGGTCATTAGGGCAGTACTGAATTTTGTCTCTCATCCAAAGCCACCTTTTATCCTACCAAATATCTCCATAAAAGGTATCCTTCAGGTCCAGAATCTAACCTGGAGATTAGATTCTGGAGCCTCAGCTGAGAACAATTTATAAATTAAGAGTGACCAGCAGCCAACAATATCAATAACAGGACTATTTCATCTTAGATCCATCCTTTATGGCTTGTAAGCACTTTCACATGCATTAGATCTTTAATCCTATGAGAGGTAGGGCTTACTACCACCACTTTACAGGAAAAGAAACTGTACAATTTAACCTATATTATTAAAAGTCCTGCCTTCCTATTGTCACTGGCCACATGAGGGACAAGAAGAGAAAAGGGGCTGGGCACGATGGCTCACACCTGTAATCCCAGCATTTTGGGAGGCCAAAGTAGGTGGATCACCTGAGGTCAGGAGTTCAAGACCAACCTGACAAACATGGAGAAACCCCATCTCTACTAAAAATACAAAATCAGCTGGGTGTGGTGGCACATGCCTATAATCCTAGCTACTCAGGAGAATCGCTGGAACCCAGCAGGTGGAGGTTGCAGTGAGCAGCGATTGCACCACTACACTCCAGCCTGGGCAACAAGAGCAAAACTCTGTCTAAAAAAAAAAAGGAAAGGAATGGAAAAGGGAGTGAAAAGGAAGGGAGAGAATGACCCAGGAGAAAGAAGCAGAGTGGACATGGAAGACTGATTTTAGTTCCCAGTTCTGCCATCAGATTTTTGTGTGACCTTGTACACTCTCTGGGACTGTTTCCTCATTAATAAATGGGAAGTCACAAAACTGCAGTCACACAGAAGCCTTCTGTGATGAACGCTGCTGGTGAACTGGGAGGCACAGCATTCGTATAGGAGGGCGGGGTGGGGGTGGGGTTCTTCCCAGACTCTAGCCACACTTCGTGGCTCCCAAAGAGGACGCGTTTCCTCTTGGGAATTCCTCTGGAAGGATAAGACATTGAGGTCATAACATTTTAGAATGTGCTGATTTGAGGCCAGTTGTTTCTCTCATTTAATTCTCTCTGTGTTCCTCTGAGGTAGGAATTGTTATTTATGTCCTCTGGATGAGGAACAGAGGTTTGGAGAGGTTCGGAGAGAAAGAGCATCCACTGCACCCCACCCCTGCCCCAAACACCACAAGAAACAAAATTCCCTGCCTGGGTTTTATAAGTAGGAGGCACTTATATGATACTCAGGGCATGAATCACCTTCCAAGGAACCATCTTGCAGAATTCCAATCATTAGGGCAGCACTGAATTGTGTCTCTCATCCAAAACCATCTTTTATCCTTCCAGATCTCTCTGTAAGAGTGCACCCTTAGGTCCAGAGATCAATTCGATTCTGGAACCCTAGCTGGGAACAATCTCTAAATTAAGAGTGACCAGCAACCAACAATATCAATAACAGGACTACTTCATCTCAGATCATCCTTTATGGCTTATAAGCCATATCTATTATCTGTTTGATCCTATGAGAGACAGGGATTACTACTCCCTATCTACAGAGGAAGAAACTGAGGCACAGAAGGAGGGTGACTTGCCCAAGTTTGCTGACCTGGTCAGTGGCAGCGTGAGGGTACAAACCCAGGTCTGTCTGGTGCCAATATCCTGGTCTTTTCTTCTGCACTTCATGTCCTTCTGGGGGTAGAGAACAATGAGATCAGGGACACCAAACAGGAATTTTTCTGAGCTGAGCCCTAGAAATGGACAGGTCCCAGGACAGAGAAGAAGGATAGGGGCAGAACAACACAGATACTAGGGACCAACCTGGGGGCACGCATGGGCGCACATACGAGAGGCACAATGCCTATAAACCCTGTCTTCCAGGGGCTGCCCAAACTGCCTGTGCCCCCCCTGCAGCAAACTCTGGACACGTACCTGCAGTGCATGCAGCACCTGGTGCCCGAGGAGCAGTTTAGGAAGAGCCAGGCCATTGTACAGCGGTTTGGGGCCCCTGGTGGCCTCGGTGAGACCCTGCAGCAGAAACTCTTGGAGCGTCAGGAGAAGACAGCCAACTGGGTAAGAGGGGCCGACCAGGAACCCATAGAAGATGGGTGGGAGGCAGACCTAGAGACAGAGGGATTTCAGTGAGAGGCGCATAGGGGACAATGACAGGGCAGAAGAAGAGACAAGGGACAGGGATGGGGACAGGAATGAGAACAAGCAGGGGACAGGAAGGGACAAGGGTGAGAAACAGACAAAGTGAGGGATGGGAAATACAGAGAGAGAAAGAGGGGGACAAACCAGGGATGCAAATAGGGGACAGAGATCACATCGGGAAGCAGAGAGGGTGAAAGGCAGGAAGGAGAGACCCATAAGGACAGGCAGAGGACAGCAATGTAGCACAAAAGCACCATAATGGGGGCTGGGACAGAAGAAAGGAGATGGGAGGGGCAAAGGTGAAGGACAGACCTGGTGACTGGGGAGCTCCCAGGCTCTGGCTCATACCTGGGGCTCAGCGTATGTTTGTGGAAGAAGTATATTAATGCTCTGGTGAAGTGTCCTGATTTTGTCTCAGGGCTGTCAAGATGGGCCTGCTTGGGAGGGGTGTGACAGCCTTCCCTGCCCTCCCCTGCAGGTGTCTGAGTACTGGCTGAATGACATGTATCTCAACAACCGCCTGGCCCTGCCTGTCAACTCCAGCCCTGCCGTGATCTTTGCTCGGCAGCACTTCCCTGGCACCGATGATCAGCTGAGGTGAGGCCTTGGTGCTCCTAGCTCATAGCCTGGGGACCCACCCAAGGCAGGGGCCCTTGCCCCGGTGCCAGCAAAGAAAGGCCAAAGCTGGAGCTTTGCCTGAGCTTCCTGGGGCCAAATGCCCTGAGATAGTGGTCATCCGAGTCATCAGGTCGGGAGCGAGGTGAGGTGTAGCTGCACTCAAGTGACAATCACACGGTCAGCCTTAGTCTATATTTATCTTGCAGTGGACTGGACACTCATGGAGGTGATAGGTCTAAATGTCTCTGTGACCACCATCCGTGGCCCTAGGAGGAGGCGTGTGTCCCTGGATCCCGCCAGTACTTGTCCCTGGGATATACTGCCCCAGGCTGTCTGAGGGACCCTCTGCTTCCCTCCAGAGCCTCCAGCTCTAAACAGAGGCCCCAGAAGGATAGAAACAATTCCTCCCTGCCAGCAGCCAGAGCCTGTGCCATCTGCTGCAATTTCAGAGCTCACTGAGCCGTTGGAAGGGCCTCTGGGCCACTGATGACAATGGAGGATGGGGGCAGGGAAAAAGGGTCTCCCTGCCGGAGTCTCTCAGAGTCTGGTCTTAAGACCTGAGTGAGGCAAATGCTGGGGACAGTTTAGAGGGAGGGCAGGCCAAAGTGGCCCAAGGAAAAGAGGCAGGGCCCACCTCACCTTTTCACAGGGCGAAGCCTTGCCAGGAAGACCCCCCACCTCCCTCTTACCAGGTGTCAATCTTTCCCTCCCATTGTAGCTGGGGTCTCCTCAGGGTAGAAGGAAGGCATGGACAGATGAATGACTTCTCAAAACAGTTGTTGCAATTTCATCTGAGGGGGTATTTTCCTCCGGGTGCAATTAAGCCACGCCCAGCATCCCGGGATGGCAGATCTCAGCTCGGTTCTTGGTGTCTTTCCCCCAGCACTTGATTTCCTTTTCACTAGTACTGGGGGGTGGGGGAAGGGGACCAAATTACTGGCTTTTCCCTGGAGACAATTTTTCACAAGGCCAGGGGTCCCGCCCAGTCCAGCCCCTTCACCATCCGCCCCTTCCTGCCTGCTCTGTGGCCTCTCCTGTCTTCTTTCTCCCTCTCCGCTCCTCCTCCTCTTCAAGGTGATTCCAGTTCCCTCTCCTCTACCCAAGAGCTGCTCCACCCCCAGTTCTCACCAAAGAACCATTTTGATGAGAATGGTTTCGAGGCTTGTGGTGGGCTCACAGCACTGGGCTGCGGGGAGGAACCACATCTGATTAGTGCACACTGCAGCCCCGGATCACAGAGTTTGTTGGGGGTGGGGGAGGAGGGAAGGAGGGAAGAGGAAGGAAATGGAAGGAAGATGGAAGCGGGGAAAGAAGGCAGAAGGGAGGGAGGGAGGGAGGGAGGAAGCCAGGCCCTGGGAGGAAGGGCTCAGGCCTCCCTTCTCCCTGCAGGTTTGCAGCCAGCCTCATCTCTGGTGTACTCAGCTACAAGGCCCTGCTGGACAGGTAGGACTGGGGGGGGTGCCCTGTTGTAGTGCAGTCTGCCTATGCGTCATCTCCTTTGCAGGGCCCTTGTCTTTTTCCAGCTCTGTATTCCCATTCCTGGTTCCTGGCACAGAGCAGGAGTCCCTGCCCCTACCTACTCCCCCACCGTCAGGATGACCTTTAGCCCAGCTGGCCTGACTGTTAACTGTTCCTTTTCCTGGGGTAAGCACCATCCTTCCTTGATCTTTTAAAAATGCCTCCTCCCTCCACACGTATGTGCCCAGGTGGCATGAATTCATTTGAAGCTGGAGAACACATCGGAAGGCAGGGAAGGAAGAGTTGGTAGAGTAAGGTGATGGGGGGTTCTGCTTTGCCCTCTGGCGGAATGGTCTCCCCAGCCAGAGATTCTAAGTGGGATTGTCCTCAATTCCACCAAGCTCGTGGACACAAGGCTGTTCTGACAGATGGAGAGGGCTGCTCAAGCACCGCAGGCTCTTTTTGATTTTAGGAGGAAAGTCCCTCTCCTGGCCAAGCGAGAGCAGGAGGGTGTCTGCAAGCAACAGGGAGAGTAAGAGGGTCTGGAGGACCCAAGTCTCTCAAAGTAGAGACTATAAGGGCATTAGAAGCTGGAATAAGAGAAAGAGGCCCAAAGAAGCATCCCTTGCACAGACGAGGAAGCTACAGCTCAGAAAGGTTAGGTAACTTGTCCATGGTCACACACATGGGAGGTGGCAGAGCAAAGAGGGGACAATGGGCAAACTTCACTCTCTGTTCAACTTGATCCATCTCAGTCTTTACTCAGCCTTGTGACAGAGGTTCAGTTCTGCATCCCCACCAAGGTAGGGCTGTTCCCTCTGGAGAGCGGTAGGCAGGGCTCCCAGGCTCTCAGGGTGGAGCAGCTCAGGCTGTCCAGGGCATTCCTGCACCACGTGCTCATGGCCGCTCTGCTCACTGCTCTCTAAATGCCATGGGTCACTAAACTCTGGGCTGCTGTCTCCTCATGGTGTATCTTTGGTCTCTCCCTTCCTGGTGGACAGCCCTCTCTTTCCTCCCAGAACTCACCCCTCCAGCTCACTGTCCTGTCTTTTTTTTCAAACAGCCTTTTTCTCTCAGGGCCTGGGGACTTGGTGCCCATTCATCACTGACTGCCACCATGAGACATCACTTTCCTTCTGATCCCAGACTTTCACATGTGCGTGTGCACACTCACACAGACATGAATACCCATGCATATCCACGTGTAGGTTCCCGTGCCCAATGATCGAAAAGGGCTTAAGACTGGAACTTTTGCCTGAGTGCCTGTTTTGAATCTTTAATTAATTAATTCATTCCTTCATTCACTTATTCCCTTTGCAACATAGTTATGCTGGGAAGATGAAGAGAAATAAGGCCTCGTCTTTCCCTCAAGAGTCCTTAGACTATTGGGCAAGACAGTCACACAAATAGACACAAAATATAGCTGTGCCCTTCCCCTGAGTCCCACACTGACTCATCCAAGCCCCAGCCATCCCCACCGGGTTGTCTCTCAGTCATTGCAAATGAGCCCAGGAGAGCTTTGCCTCTTCCTCCCTGCTCCCCAACCCGCCCCTCACCTTGTCGTGCTGTCTCAGTCAGTGTACCTGCACGCCCTGTTGGTGAGTCTGAGAACCTAGAAGTCACCTGTGCTTGTTCTGCTTTCTCCCTTGCACCCCCAAGTAACCCATGGTGCTCAGATGTGGTCATTCTCCCTCCCCACCATGTCCCCAAGCTCCCTCCTGCCTCCCTGCTGCCCCCATGAGATGTCACTTTCCTTCTCAGCCACAGTCTCCTTCCTTGCTCTTCCTGTGACACCTTTCAGTCCATTCTCCCCATATAAGCAGGGTCAATAAAAAAACAAAATGTAAACCCAATCATGCCCCTTCATGCTAAAGCCTCCTGAGGGCTTTCACTGCACCAAGAATAAGGTGACAGCTCCTCCCCACTGCCACTGCATCCCCACAGGACCTGGCCTGTCCACCTCTCTGGCCCTGTCTTCTCTGGGCCTCAGCCCCTCTGGCTTCTCTCTGCCTTTGACCAGTGCTTCTCAAGCTCCCTCTGGGGAAAGACCAATATATTTTCTTTCATTTTGTAAAATTTGTGTAGAACAAAAATGGATTACTAGAAAAATGATACAAAATATGAGACCAAATGTTTTATTATTGGATTCAACAGACATAAAATTTCCATCACATTACTAGAGGCATTTCTGGGATCAGGCATTACACCAAGTCATGGGTCAGTCACAGCAGTTCAGTGCAAAACTCATACTTTGAGCTGATCAATCAGCTCAGTGAGACTGCTCCTCTGGTCACCACCTCCCACCCCTGCCAACACTCTGTCCCGCTACCTGAAAGTCTCCCATTCACTGGTTTGCTGCTTGTGGTCTACTCTTCACCTACACATCCCAGGACCTGCACCCCAGTAGAGCCGTAGATGCATGTCTTATTTGCTGCCATATCCCCACATCTCAGAATGGTGCCTGGCCTATACAGAGGAGGTGCTTCACAAATATTTGTTGGCTAAAAGGGGGGAAGGATGGATGGGTGGATGGATGGTTGGATGGATAGATAGATGGATGGATGGTGGATAGATGGGTGAATGGTGGATGAATGGGTAGATGGTGGATGGAAGGATGGGTGGATGCTTGGTGAAGTTTGGGTGGATGGAAGGGTGGATGGATGCTTGGTGGATGGATGGAAGGATGCTTGGTGAATGGATGGATGGATGAATGGATGAATGGATGGATGGATGTAAGGATGGATAGGTGAATGGAAGGATGGATGGATGGGAGATACATGGGTGAATGGTAGATGAATGGGTGGATGAAAGGATAGATGGATGCTTGGTGGATAGATGGGTGGATGGAAGAATGGATGGATGCTTGGTGGATGGATGGGTGGATGGAAGAATGGATGGATGCTTGGTGGATGGAAGGATGTTTGGTGGATGGATGGATGGATGGATAGATGAATAGAAGGATGGATGGATGGTGGATACATGGGTGAATGGTGGATGAATGGGTGGGTAAAAGGATAGATGAATGGTTGGTGGATGGATGGGTGGATGGAAGGATGGATGGATGCTTGGTGGATGGATGGGTGGATGAAAGGATGGATGGATGCCTGGTAGATGGATGGGTGGATGGAAGGATGGATGGATGCCTGGTGGAAGGTTGGATGGAAGGATGGATAGATGGTGGATAAAGGGTGGATGGTCGATGGATGAGTGAATGGTGGATGGATGTTTGGTGGTGGATGTATGGTAAATGTATGGATGGATGATGGATAGATGTATGGGTGGATGAACGGAAGAAAGGAAGGGAGAGAGGAAGGATAGAAACAAGGCATGCTGAGACCACAAGGAAAAAGAACTTCCTGAGTTGACCTCAGAGGAGGCTTCTAAGAGTGAAGATAAAGGAGTAGGCTCTTGAAGAAGGGAAAGGAGTTTTCTGAATAGAACAGTTGAGTGCTGGGGTTGGGGCAAAGGCATGCTGAGAGAAGATCAGCATAAGAAAAGGTGCAGAAGGCTAACTGGCAAGGCTTGCACATGCTGTGCATGAGGCAGAGGTTTGAGAAAACTCTGAGGGTCTCCATGGGTTGTGGAAATGGGGCCCTCCACTACTTTTAAAAGAGAATTGAGCTCTGCAACTGCCATTGTGATGCAATTCTTGGTTCTGTGCCCCATTTTTCCTGATCAAATTATAATAAAACCCATTTTCTGTCTCCCCTCAACCCCTGCCATCCCCTCGTGGTGTCTTCCCTTCCCACTCCTTTCCTTCAGCCATTCCATTCCCACTGACTGTGCCAAAGGGCAGCTGTCAGGGCAGCCCCTTTGTATGAGGCAATACTATGGGCTTTTCTCCTCCTACCGGCTCCCCGGCCATACCCAGGACACGCTGGTGGCCCAGAACAGCAGCATCATGCCAGAGCCCGAGCACGTCATCGTGGCCTGCTGCAACCAGGTAAACAGCCCCTTGTCTTGGTGAGGGAGGGCACAGGGCACGCAGTGACTATGTGTTCACATTCGAGGGTGCTCAGCCTTTTTCCCTGAGTCGCACAGGGAGCTGGGGCACCGTGTCTCCAAAGTGGGGTCCCTACTTCCAGTCAGTCCCATGTCTCTCCACCAGTTGGCTTCTAAGAATGAGAGCCATCAGTCTGAGCATACCCTCACTGGACTCTCACTTCAGCCCTGATGCACTGAGGGTCACAATCGAGACCCTCCACCTGTACATCTATTCTTTTCCATGCAGTCACCCAGGCTTTGGCCTTACTAGAGACCACACAATCAGACAGTGTTATGGACTGACAAATAGGACCTTTCACGTGCCAGCCTGTGAGCTCGGCACTTAACATGTATTCGTCCCACTTAATCCTCACAGTGACCCTGCAGAGAGGGCCTTAGGAGCTTCGTGTGACAGATGAGGACATGAGACTCAGGCAAGTTAAGTGATCTGTCCAAGAGTGGGAAGGACTCCTAGGTCTGGCCAGTGCTCCAGGGTCACGCTCTACCTGCTGCAGCTCAGGTCCTCAGATTGGGTTCCGCAGAGCCAACAAGGACCCATGGGGCCTGGGGGACAGGCTGAGCATGAGGGCTCCTGATCTCTTCCCAGTGCCCACCACAGTATATATTCCCTATATTGAGCTTCACATAAATATTTCCTCTGACAAACAATTTGTTTTGTTTTTGCTTTACTAAAACCCATGTTTGGCAGCCATCCCAGGGACTCCCCTGGGACTTGCTTTATGGTGTGATCTTCTCAGGCTCACCTCACATTTGTAGTAAGTTGGGAGTTCTGTGGAAGCTTGACAACTGAGGGCAGCTGTGACCTCTGTTTCTAGATTCAAAGGCCAAATAGGAGGCCTTGCAGCCCACCTGACACCTTGGTCACAGACCAAGGACATTTCTCCATCTTCATTCAAAAGTCAAGCCCAGTATTTCCCAGCTCCCACGGGCCACTATATCCACCCCTTCCAGACATGCTCTGGGCCCCTGCACTGGTCCAGGCCATACAGACACTGCTGGGGGGTTGCAGGGGAAGGGAAAACACGGTACTCATATTAATCAGCTGAAAAGGGTATCTTGACCTGGGTCTGGGAATAGACCCTTCACAAAGCCCAAGGCTCTAGCCTTCGAAGTTACAAATTGACAGAACCACAGGGCTGACAGACAAAGCACATGTAGGTACACATGTATAGGTGCACATGCACGCGTGATGTATGTTGGTTTTCCAGTCTTCCTCTGCGTATGATTGCTGGCTTGCTTTTTTCCTCCACTCACCAGTGGCTCATCCCTGTGACTCTATTTGCTGCTAATTCACTCTTTTCAGTGGCTGAGTAGACATGCCCCGGACATATACACTACATTTCACTTAGCCATTCCCCTTCTGGAGAACAGTGAGGCTCTTGCTATCACTTTGCTGTTGCAAACAAGGCCAAGAGGCACATTCCTCATGTCTTCCAATATACATGAGTATGTTTCTCTAAGCCTCAGGCTAAAATGTGCATTTGTAAGTGCAATTGCTTAGTCATAGGTATGCACATTTTTAGTTTCGCTAGACACAGCCCTCCAACAGTAGCTGTGCCAATTTATGCTCCATTCCTCGCAAACATGATGGATTCTGTGAACCATAAAAGCACATTTTCTTTTGGCTAAGTTTTATGTTGCCTTCTTTGATTGGGGGCAGAATGGAATCCAGCACAGTCAATAGCCTTGGGTTGGTCCCTAAACTGAGAACCTCTAAACACCTTGAGAACCTGGGGCCTGAGCATCCCTATCCCAGGCTTACCTGTGAAGGCTGAGTGAAGGCCTGGTGCCACGGGCCACCCATCGAGTGACGTGTTTGACCTGTTTCCCCCACAGTTCTTTGTCTTGGATGTTGTCATTAATTTCCGCCGTCTCAGTGAGGGGGATCTGTTCACTCAGTTGAGAAAGATAGTCAAAATGGCTTCCAACGAGGATGAGCGCTTGCCTCCAATTGGCCTGCTGACATCTGACGGGAGAAGCGAGTGGGCCGAGGCCAGGACAGTCCTCGTGAAAGGTCAGCGACAGTGCCCAGTGCCTCTCCATGCCCATCTCATGCTCGTGCCCATCGGCTTTCCCTCCTCTGGGGTCGGGCCAGGGCCTCATCCCCATCAGCCATAGCGCGGGAGCTCAAGACCACAGCATGCCCTGTCACCAGCCACGGTGCCTTGCTGCTGAAGGCACATTTTGTGCCCTCGTGTTCCATCTGACATTATCTGGTGTTCTTGGCGGGACTAACCAGTGCTGGAACTGGGTATGTCTGGGAATGTTGGGTGGGGGTGGAGTTAGCTGGAGGAAGGCTGGCTGCAAGTGAACAGGTGTGTTTACTTGGTGGGCTGGGGCAGCACTCACTGAGAGTGGCTAGGGGATCAGTCATCAAATGGGGATGTGGGATGGAGCCTGCCTCCGGGAAAGTGATTCGCCACCTCTATTACCTGATGTCTCCATCCTGGGACTCCTCATCTTCAAGCTACCCTTTACCTTGTGGCACTGTTATTATGAAAGTCTCCAAGCATTCCCATAAGAAAGACAGGAATATTCTTGAAAATTTTTTATGAGCCTTCTGGAAAGTACTTTTCAAATCTAAAGCTGGTCCTATTTCAGGAACTAATGGAATGCCCTCCTTCCTTGCCTACATTAGAGATACTGAAATGAGAAGCAAGACTTCTGTGAGTCTCTGTTTGCCCCTCAGAATTTTACTGGGCTAGGCAATACAATCAGACTCTCCAGGCCTGTTACTGAGGGCCTTGGGCTAGACCCGTGGAGTGTGGGAGACAAAGGAGATGAGGCCTCTACCCAGGAGCAGCCCCATAATGGGAAGAGGAAGAGAGGGCATGGGGAGGAGACTCACGTCCAGGGGCATGCAGCGCTGACCCACATCAGGCGTCAAAAACATGCTCCAGGACTTCAGAGAGGAGAGGGAGCCAGCCCTTTAGAGTGGGATTGTGAAAGGCTCTGTTAGAAGAGGTGGGAATGGAGCAAGGCCCCGTGTTATGTGTGAGAAAGGCTGGAGGGAAGGATGGTACCCAGGCAGGCAGACCAACCCTGAGCAAAGCCCGCTGCCCGGCAGGGACACACCACCCTGCCCCTGGGATGAAAAGGAGAATAGCTGTCCAGCAAAGGTGGCCTGAGCCAGATGTGCTGGGCCTGGTTGCCTGACAACAGGCACTTGCATTTTCTGGTCTCTCTCTCTCTAGAAGGGTCTTTCCCCAGAGCCAGCTGGCTCCTTGCCCCATGCAGAACTCAGCCCATGTGTCTGGCCACAGGCCCTCCTTGGGCATCCTTCCCGCGTGCTCTGTCACCGTGGCCCATTCTCTTACCTTGATTCTATTGCTCACTTTCTGAAGACAGCTTTGCATTCATTTGATGAATGCTGATTATCTGTCTTCCCCCCTCACCCCCTGCCCCCTGCCTTCAAGGTCAGAAGGACAGGGACCTTGTCTGCTTGGTTTAATTTCTGAGAAACACAGTCAGGGCCCAGTTACATTTATTAAATAAAAGAGTGAAGGGTGATTAAAAATGCCAGGCCCCAGACTTATTCCCCATTTTCCAAATTAATTATTCTTTCCTCCAATTATTGGGCACCTGCTGAATGCTGTCCTAAATAGAGGGCTGTATGGGCCACAGAGAGGTTGAGAGCTGACTATCCTCCCTGACCTAGCCTCACTTAATACTGGAGAATTAATAACTTTGCATTCCAGAGTAAGTTAATTCCCCTAGGAGACCATGATATAATCAGATCCCACTCCTCTCCCCTCCAGGCATAGAGACAGGCATCGAAATAATTGCCTCTGCCTCCAACATAGTTTCCACTTTATTAGCAGGCCAGGCCCAAGACACACCCTTCTGGGCTGGCTGGATTGCTCCGAGGTCTGAGTGCTTGGGCTATGGATCAGAATTGATTTGTTAATGGCACTTGATCTGGCTTTCTGAATGGAAGTGCTGTTTCTGAGAGAAATGTGACAGAAAGGAGGGGACACACGCGCATCCCTTTAGGTAATCCAATTAATCCAGTTAGCACCAACTGTGTCATCTACACAGCGGGAAACTGATTCTTCAGAGTCCCCCTCCCTAGAGCTGCCCTGCCTATGGAACAGAAACAGGGAGATCATTTACAAAATGATTTTGGTTTCCCAGTGAAAGAGTATGGCAGCTTGGGCCAGGGTTGAGAGTAAAGATGGAGAGACCAGTGGGGTCAAGGCCGTTAGAAGCGAGAACAATTCCTGGACTTTTTATCCGAGCCATGAGTGGATGTTGGTGCCATTTAGTAAGAGGTCAAGGAGTGGGTACAGGATGGAGAAATCATTGCCAAGCATGCTGGGTTCGAGGTGCTTGAGTCATCTAGGTGGAGACATCAAGCTCGATCTATGCTTTTGGAGCCCAAGGAAGAGGTCAGTACAGAGCTATAAATCTGAGAGCCATCAGTACATAAATGATCCTTAAAGTCATGGACCTGGGTGAGATCATCTAGAAACAGAAGAACAGGGGAGCTGGAGGTCATGTAGAGAAAGATGCAAAGGGGATTGAGAAAGAGCAGCCCCTAAGGTAAAAGAAACCCAGGAGAAGAATCACAGAGATTCAAGAGGGAAGGAGCAGCCAGCCACGTGGAATGCCGTGGAGAGCTAGGAAGAACAGGTCACGGGAGACCCAGTTCCGCAATCCTGAGGCTGTCACCGGGCTTGCTGAGGGTCAGACCAGAGCACCAGGAAGAACAAATGGTTGCACACTGATGGAAGTGGTCCAACAGCACAAAGAAATTGTCGATGAGTTGAACCAGTGAGAATGGTTGACTTTTTTCAGCTATTTTGATACTAAAAAGAGCAGAAGAATGAGGGATTGCTGAAAGAGGTCAAGGGAGGTGCTTTTAGGAAGAGAGACAAATGTGTGGAAGGAATTCAGTAAAAGAAATTGATGAAGAGCTATGAGATAAATTGAGGGGTGGAATTCTTACAAAGGCAAAAGGAGACGGAACTCAGAAAATAAGAGGCCTTTGGTTGGTGCAAGGTGAAACGGAAAGCTTGGGCCTGAAACTGTGGAGGTAGAGTATGCAAAGGCTCCCAACTGGTACCAGATGGTCTCAGATCACAGCCTTGAGATGAGAGGTAAGAGGAAAGATAAGAGATAAGAGGCAGGGAGTTGGATTCTGAAGACAAAATAGAATGTATGAAATAGCCTCCTGGAAAGTAGGAAAGAAGGCTTGAAAAACTTGATAAGATTTATGGACAATGTTGAGGTCATATACGACGCTTGAGTGATATGTTTTCGGAGAAGCTAATTAGCATTGTTATGTGATCTTCCCCACCAATGCTCAGCTCCTCAGGTTCAGCCAGAGTTGGTGAGTGTACTGACAGGGACAGTCAAGGTGTGGCAGGGAACCGTCATGCTAGAATCTGAGCTGAGTAAGGAAATGTGTTCAAGTCTGCTCGGGCAGCCATAGCAAAGCACCACAGACTGGGAGGCTTCAAAAACAGATACTTGCCACCTTACAGTTCAGCAGGGTGGCTTCTCCTGGGGCTCTCTCCTTGGCTTGTGGATGCTGCCTTATCCCTATTTCTTTATGTGGTCTTTCCTCTGTGCATATCTGTATCCGAATCTCTTCTTATAACTTGACCAGTCATATGAAATTAGGCTTCACCCAAATGGCCTCGTTTAACTTAATTATCTCTTTAAAGGTCCCATCTCCAAATACAGTCATATTCTGAGCTGCTGGGAGTTAGGACTTCAACACAGGAATTTTTGCGATGACACAATTTGCCCCATAAGATGAATGAAGTGACAGACAGGGTAGATGACAGTGAGAGCTCAGTAGGGCCAAGGGGTTTGGCCGTCCTGGTGACGAGATGTGTTTAGTGGTATCAGAGGATGTGAACTAGAAAGCTAGAAGTGTGCTCAGTGTGTGGATGCTTGAAACTGAGACTTGAGACGTGGTGGGCTCCTGGTAGGCAAAGTTCCCAGATGTGATCTTGGCCGTGGGTACAGGGCTGAGACCGTCAAAGGTAGAGGAGCTGGGAGAGGAGGATGGGGGCTGGGTATCCACATGGATGCTCATGTTACCATGACCATGATTCCAGTAGCATGGGGAAAGCAGGTGAACTGAGAACCCAGGTCTTCATTATGGGGACCTAGGAAGAGATTGGCGCAGCACAGAAACAACGGGGATGACAGTGATGGCGAGGGTAAAAGCCTAACAGCTCCAGCTCCAAAGCAAAGTGGGATGAGGGAGGAGTTGTTTAGAAACAGGAACAGAGAGAAGGAAACTGTCTACTCAACCTGGCCCTCGGATGCTTGAGAGGGTGTCAGGGGAGCAGGCACCTTGGGGAAGCAGCCCCTCTGGGAAGCACCACACTGCAGTTGAGGCAGAGCTGGGGGGACACCTACAAAGAGTCTAGCCATACAGAGGAATGGTCCATCTGAGATAGGCACAAAGGGCTCTAGAAGGAGGAAAGGACAGGTGTGAGAACTGGGTGCACTTAGGGGACACGTAGCATGGGGAGTGGGGGAATGGGGGAGCCAGGGAGCCCCCAGGGTGGCTGCCTAGCTGTGGCTGTTGGAGCTGAGGTACTTTCTGACCTATAGCAGTATTTCGATTAACTCCACAAAATGGGTTGAGCTATTTTAGGGCAGCATAGCTCCCAACCCTCTCAGCTCAAGCCCTGATCCCACCCCTGCTTCCTGGAGCCTGGATACAGAGACAGTGACCATGGGCACAGGGTCCAGGCAAGCAGTGGCTGGCAGGGGGCCTTGGCTAAGCTGCGCTCCACCAGGAGGTCCGGACAAGGGAACTTGAGCTCAGACAAAACGCTTCCCCAGATTCTCACACAGTCAACTGAGGCCCGAGGCAGGGGCTCGTCCACCCCAACCCTTCATTGCATCAACTTCTCTCCTGCAAACACTGCTCCTGAGCCTCCATCCTGCCCCCAACCAGGTCGACTCCCCCCTATGAGCCCCAGGCTGCCCAGCCTGACCCTGTGCCACGACACTGAGGGCATGAGGCTCACAGGTTTCCAGGGACCGCCA